GACTCTGCCGATCACTGGCGTTCTGGAGTCGACGGGATGTCTGTCCTGACGTTTCCTGGGACCGGCGCTGACTCTGCCGATCACGGGCGTTCTTCTTCTTCTTATTATTATTATACTGACGGCAACTAACATCCATTCTGATTGCATTTACTCGTCTCCCTACTTCGTATTTCTTTCCAGAAAATCTCCCCATACAGCAGGGAGTCGTTTACATAACAATTATGACTCCCTGCTATACATCTACATGACTGTACATACGTTATAATTATTATGCTAACGGCCTACATGCGATTTCCGGGCTGGTCGACAGGCGGCCCAGCCAGCCTGCTAGTGGGATCTCGGCCTCGCACACAAATCCACACAAATGTTACTGCACTGAATGCATTCCCCCGAAACACTTCGCATATATACTCATTCTCTTGATGGTACCGTACTCATGATGGTACGGGACACGTACGGGATAGCGCCAGGCATGTCGATGGCACAAACAAACAAAAATATTGTGGCCAGCTGTCTTTGCTGGTACGGTACAGTACGGGACAGATACGGGATAGCGCCAGGCGTGACACAAACAAACAAACAAACAAACAAACAAACACCAAATTAAAGCTGTGTGGACCCTGGCTAGCGCCAGACGTTACTGAAGTAACGTCTTCTGCATAGCTACGGGAATTAACATTTATTTTACTAGGGTGTTTCCCACAGATCTATGGTCTTCTTAGAGCCCCTAGGCTAGCTAGGAAGGTTAGTTAAGTTAAGCATATGAACACAGCCGTACACAGCCCAACTACTAGTACAGGTGTCCATTGAAAAATTGTCCTGTCCAGGATGGGAATTACTACAGTAGCGGCCTAGGGACCGGCGGATTCTGCTCGAAAAGCAGTTAAATTGGCAGAACCATACAAACCTTATGGCGGGCAGTTCCTCGAATTCTGCTCCATTTCTTTATCCACATACCAAACATGCATGAAACTTACCTGAAAAGGTACCGAACTCTGCCAATTTTTCTACCGGCAGAATCCGCCGGACCCTACGGTGGCCGTATTGCGTGACCGATCCTTTCATTGCCCTTACCTTTTCTTTTCCATCTGGATTCCTATTTCAGTATTTTGGTTTCCTCTTTTCTCTCTAGCCATCCTCTTGTACCTTCTTGCCGTCATTCATTCGTGTAACATTGTGGGTCTTTGAGTGAGCATAGAGTCAACCAGTACCCGTTCTCGTAGTTCATGTGCTGGGAAAAATCCATCTAGCCCATTCTGAGATTGTTTTCCTATTAGCACAGTGGCATGCACGGGTAGTGGACAAGATTTCAGATGCAGACCGCCAGGCGCGCCCCCAGCTGTCAACCTGTCCCCGGGGTAAAACACAGAAAAAAATCCCAGAATTTGCGGTGTAAATATGGCATAATTTGCGGTGAATTTGCGGGTAAATATGGCATAATTTGCGGTGAATTTGCGGTAAATATGCGGTGGATTATTGATATGCGGCAAGTTTGCAGTTAATATGAGGCAATTTTTCAGTGAGTATGTAGTGAAATCAATCCGTTACAGGTCTCTGGTGTAAGCACTCGTCATACTTGAGTACAAAGCCGCCACGATGAGACGTTGCTGACCGAACAGGGCACTGTGTGTACGTGTAGTGCAACAAAAAATTCAAAAAACGCGGGAAAATCGCGGAAAACGCGGTCTTTTCAAAATCACAAGAAACGCGGCCGCGGAATCGCGATTTTCCCCAGGGACAAGTCAACAAGGCTAGAGTGTTACCGTAACAGACACGGGCAGAACTTCTGTCCTCTGTGTGGGGCTGCTAAGACAGAAGGTCTAGCAGCCCCAACCAGAGGACAGAAGTTCTGAAGGTCTAGCAGCCCCAACCAGAGGACAGAAGTTCCGAAGGTCTAGCAGCCCCAACCAGAGGACAGAAGTTCTGAAGGTCTAGCAGCCCCAAACAGAGAACAGAAGTTCCGAAGGTCTAGCAGCCCCACACAGAGGACAGTAGTTCTGAAGGTCTAGCAGCCCCAAACAGAGGACAGAAGTTCCGAAGGTCTAGCAGCCCCAAACAGAGGACAGAAGTTCTGAAGGTCTAGCAGCCCCAAACAGAGAACAGAAATTCCGAAGGTCTAGCAGCCCCACACAGAGGACAGAAGTTCTGAAGGTCTAACAGCCCCAAACAGAGGACAGAAGTTCCGATGGTCTAGCAGCCCCAAACAGAGGACAGAAGTTGTGAAGGT